GAGTGAGAGGTGGGGGTGGGGGACCAAGACAAGGACAAGGGTCCAGAGAATTCCAACGTCCCCATTTATTTTTCAACGGGCGCGCTCCATCCGCCCCCTGTCCCCTCTCCCCTCTCTCCAGCTCACCCTACGCCCATTTTCTTCTTTTAGGATTTGACCCATTCCGCGGCCTGCGCGGGAGCGTGCCTCTGCATTATTAAAAGCATGTGGCGGTGTGTATGTGTGTGTGTGTTTGTGTGAGTTTCCGCTGCGCAAAGAGGAAAGTGGAAAGGGGAAAAGGGGGGTGGGGTGAGGGATTACTCCTTCTGCAGTGTGAGGCGAGGAGGGGAAGGGGTGAGGGTGGTGAGGGGAACCACCTGCAGCGCTGCGCAGCGTTGTTATTGAAAACAACCACCGCATCGCGTTTATTAGGCTCGAATGCGGCGCGGTCGCCTCCGCAGCGCTCACGGCTCACGGCTGACTTGCCCTCCCTCGGCCGTGTTGCAGCGCCGACATGGTGGACCTCCTGCCGCTGAAGCAGAGCGTCGGGGCGCTGCGCGTCCCCCGCGCTCCCCTCGGCCCACCCCCGGGGCCCTCGGCTCCCGACGGCCAGCTCGGCCTGCTCAAGTCGCGGCTGTTCTCTGCGCTGGAGAGCCTGGAGGGCAGCCAGATCCTGTCCAACCTATCCTCGCGCCTCGAGACGGCGCTATCGCTGAGCCAGGACAACACCAGCAGCTCGCCGTCGGCCGCGTGCTCGGCGCGCTCGCCGGACGAGCCGCACGCGAGCGTCGCCGAGGACAAGAGGCAGCCCGCGGGCTCGGAGGACAGCCCGGGCGGGGCCGCGCGGCCCCGCTCGAGCGCGTGCTCCGGCGCGGACAGGGGCGACGCCGAGGGCGCCGAGGACCCCGCCGTCAGCAGGCCGGCCGTGCCGCAGGCCTGCGGGCCCGACCCCTACGAGAAGCTGCACTACAAGATGGGTAAGTCCGGTCGGTCTCGACATTGCGTGGTTGCAACCAGAAAACG